AAAAAAAAAAAACAGCAACAAAACAACAACTCTTTTGGGGTCATGCGAAACCTGTTGCTTTCTAAGCCTTAAGGATAAAAAGGCTTTACATTATATGAATTACCTACAGTGGTTCCCCTGCTTGATTTCCCTTACAAGATTATACACTAAATGTAGTCACCTTTTAACAGTCATTCAAATACTATTTCTTGAGTATCCATGAGTACCAAGCATGGCATAGAACGCTGTTTTGGGTAGAATGTTTTCCAACTTGGAAGCAGTATGCCTGTTTTGAATACAGGTAATACCCATCTGAGCAGAAGAAAAGAAAAGTTTCTTTTGATAGATTTCAGTCTGTATATGAATAGAACCAAACACTTCTTGGTGGCACAAGGCTTGTTGATATTTGGAGAAGAGAACTTTTGGTTAAGAGAAATGACTACTATTTTAACAAATGCCAATATAAATGAGAAGGAAATGCTCCCAGATAGGCATTCTAAGAGTCACTAGAGTGAATTATAAATGAGGTTAGCCCATTTCTTCAATACATTTAGTTTCAATTATTAGTTCAACAAATTTAGTTCCAATTTGTTCAATATTAAATCCAGATTAAAATACTGATTATTATGTGCAATGAGCATGCTTTCCAAAAATCACCCAAATGTAATGATTTCCTGGCTTTTCATGCATTTTAATGTATGTTTAATCTTGATTATATAAAAAGTTAACACTAAATTAATGGTTATTTTAAAATAGGTTTCTATAATCAGTGTCAAAGGAAAGAGAACAATTAAATCTGAAGACGTACAGTTTTTGAGTGTAGCAGCCAACATGATGTTCATTTTAGGCCTCAGTGCATGGAGTGACAATATATGTATCTCATTATAGGGTTTCCTTTCATTAGTCTATCATTTAGCTAAAGCTAAATTACAAAAAAAAAAAAAAAAAAAAAAAAACATCTTTATTCTGACCCAACTCACTACCTTTATTTTGTTAATTTAGAAAATAAAAAGGGAAACAAATCTAGCTAGTTTTCTACAAATTTCTGGATGTTGTCAGTAATTGACTTCTTTACAGAATTTTTCCTAGCCATGATGCAGTGAGTCGATGGCTAAATGGAATAGGAACTACATGTTCACAGTAACACTAAATATTAAAAAAAGGAACTAGAAAACCTCTGTCACCCTATAATAAGAAACATTTATTATTTAAAAGGGCTTGCAACAATTCCAGTTTTAAAGCATTTCTGATCATGGGATGTGGTTTATTAAAAAACAAATTCAACTTATTATCTCATTGTTCTTTCTTAAGTCGTACCTTCAAAGACAAACTCACACTTAATTAAAATACCTACATTGCTTCATCCTAAAATTGAAAAAGACCTAATGGTAAATCAATTAACCAAGAAATAAGCTATCAAGTACTGATGCATCTAAAGGTCGGCTTTTATTTGGTACTGTATTCTTCCCAGTTGAGGCTCTCATTACTCATGGTAACAATAATATTGTAATACAAACATTTCAAAATATACTGTATTGTCAAGCTTTTGTAGTCTGTTAAAAAGAAGTTTTCTAGTGATACTTTCACTAGTTTTGCAGCTGTCTTAGTACAATGGTTAGTCTATACCAGACATCCTAGAAATAGTTGAATGGATGCATGAAGAAGTCAGTAATGAATGAATCAATTGTTTGAAATTCAGTGTCTCCTATTCTAGTCCCAGGTCTGCCGGTCATTAGTTGATTTTGACCAGGTCATTTAAGTAAGTAAATTAGACGTATTTCTAGGTTCCTATTTAGCCCTTTCTATTTTCATTTGTATGATGCCTACATTCTGATCAGTCTTCTTTGTTGTAAGATGAATACAAGCAGCAGGGGCAGTAGAACATTTTAGGTTTTGTAGTTTTAGCTCATACTGCCCTTTAAATCCTGAGAAATTTCATCTATTCCAATTTTAAACAGCTTTTAAAACTCCATCTAACAGCCTAGATGGTTCTGTCAGTGTCTTCATCGTTGATAGTTACAGCAGCTTATTTTGTAGGCTTCAAATAAGTTATGACTGACAGGGAATATTGAAGAAACCACAAGAATATTTCAGTTAGGCGTCAAAATGAATAATGTATTCAAGGATATTCTTATAAATGAAAATTAAAACTCACATCAGAAAATGAACTGAGCTTGTAAATGTCCACAAGCCCCTCCCCTTTAACACAGCTCTAAGTCTTTTCTTTACCTTGTTTGATATTTAGATTTAAAATGTGCTTCATGAAATAATGGCTGTCAAGTTATTCGACATCTAACTGCCCTCATACAGTTAACTTCTTTGATGGTTCATGCTGTCATGATTTTTTTTTTTCATATAACAATGATTATTTTCCAAAACACATATGTCCTTAAGAGTACACATTTTTTAAAATTCCTTTTATTGTTTCATGTCAGAACTTTTAAAAAAGATACTGCTACTGCCCAATGATCACAATAGAGACTAGGGGTTGGGGAGAATGGATGCTTTGTAAAAAGGCTTGATAAATACAACTGCTATAATTTCTAAGGCAATTGCCCAGCAGCCCTGTGGAGATTTTTTTTTCTTTTCTTTCTTTCCTTTTTTTTTTTTTTTGGGAGGTGGGGGTGGGGATTTGGGGTTTTTATTTTGCAATGCAGGGAACTGAAGCCTTGAGCCTCAAGCACTCTACTATTGGACTCTTTTCAGCCCAAGAAGTTTTATTTATCAATGCTTTAGTAAGAATTTTAAAAATTGACACTGTTCTATGGAATGCTTAACATGCTGAAAACTAATACTATGATAAGCCTTCAGCCAATTTACCTTAAAGTATAACAAATGTCTCTCAGTTTGTATATAAGTAGCAAACACATACTGATGCATGAGAAGGGAAAACAGTAGAAAGGTTCATGAATCTTTAATGCTGGTTTGAACATAATGAATATATTTACCTGCTGCAAAAAGCATGACAGCAACAGGTCTGTAGAAGCGCCTTCGAGATCCCACACAGATGGAAATCAAACCCACCAGGAATGCAATGAGAATGATAGCAGCACCACCCAGGAGTAAAGCCAGAGTAGCAATCTGCCAATCTGGAAAGAAAAAAAAAAAAAAAAAAGGAAAATTGTGGCTCTTAAGCAATAAGCCTGCAAAGAATCAACAGAAGTCTGCTCAGCACCTTTCATCTTGATGCAGCTCAACTGATATGATTTTACTGCTTGCTAAGAATCCTTTGGGGTTTGAAATGTTTTGCAACAAAAATTAATATTAATGTCCTTATTCAGAAATGGCTCCTCTGCTAAGCTCAGCAGAGTTTTTAGGGCAAAAGTTAGCCACACTTCTAACGTGGGCTCTCCTAATGTTAAATTGAATGTCACTCTCTCTATGACCTATTTATTTTCAATATTAAGATTAATAAGTGCATTGAACTATACAGTTAATAACTATTACATATAGAAAATAAGGATAAGGGTGAATTGTATATAACCACCATTCATACGTAGAGTTTAGATATTTACATTACCAACAAAATCTCCTTGTGCCTTTTCCTAGTCAATAACTACCCTACCAACTTGGGCTAGTGACAAGATCCAGTGCCATGACCAATCTAGTTTAGTCTGTTTATAAGTAATATGAATTATTTTGTGTTTTTCTTTGACGCCTCTGAAGATCATCGAATTACTATATGTGACAATACAACACATTTTTTAATTACTTTACTTCTTAGAAAGTCTTCCTTCACATCATAAAAACTCCAAGTTTTAATTTATCTTCACTCACTGCTAAAACAATTCCCCAGTCAATTCACATCAGGAAGATTTGTTGGTGGTTTATTTATTTCACTTCATGTGTCTCTGACAGCTGTAGTCACCATCACCAAAATAGTTTTTGAAGTAAGGAATTTCAGAGAGTCAGACAGGATTCTAAAGGATTGCTCAGCTCTTTTCTTCAATCAAGAACAAGTAATATATTGACCACTTAGCAAGTCGGATTCAGTGAAAAAATAAACCTCATTGATGACAGTTTGTTTCCTATAAGGATATAGCAATGGTATGACAGAAAGATGATATATTTTCCATTCAAGAAAAAAAAAGATGAATCTGTAAAGTACATATATAGATCAGGAAGCATCACATAAATGATACAATAACAACTGGCACCCTACAGTGGTAGTAATTTGAAGGAAAATCCCAAGATGCCTCTTCTGCTCCTCAGTTTAATGTATGCACAGGAAATGTAAGTACATTTTAATCTATTACTAAACTATAATGCATTCTACTCAAAGCCCATAACCCATGATACTTTGAGCTTTCCTCTGAAATCACCCTTCTAGAAAGCTTCTCAAGTGCTGAAGCATGAAAAACGGTTAGCAGAGAAACCTCCAAATGTTCTTTTTGTATTTATTCTTAAACACCCTTTTTAACATCCTTGCAAACCCTCCCCCCCCCAAAAAAAAAGCTTTGTATGTTTCACTGGCTTTCAACTAGAACTTGCAAAGCAATTAGAAAACAAATACATAAAACAGATCCACACATCTTAAAATACAAGCAGGAATCACAAGAAAATAGAGAGTATTTTAATGCATCTATTTGTAACAAACCCATTTAACTTCAAACAAAAGGGTATCTGGCTTTCAACTAGAAGTTAAAAGGATAGCCATATTATGGCATTTTTATTCCATAACAGCATGTTGCTTGTAATTAAAAAGCCAAAAGAATAATCTTTCTATGTGGAAGCCTCTAAATTACGTTGCAAAAGTTTATGTATAGTACATTATTTGACATAATGAAAACTTGTAAGTTGAAATTTTTGATTTTTAAAAAAAATCAGTATAATTACATTAAAGCAACAAATAGGGAACAAAGAAAAAAGCAAAATCCATTTATGAATTCATGGATCAATAAAACACCTGGTGTTCAAGCAGCTATGCCATGGGTAATTTTTGTTGGATTACTATGCTAGGGAATGATTTTAAATTTAAAAGTAGTCTTATCTGTCTTTGAATAAATAGCCACCTCCTTAAAAAATATCAATACAGACTTACAACAGATTGTTTTTCCTGATAAGATCTTCCATGCAATTAAATATGCAAAAATGGCAATTTTCAATATTTTTACTTTCAACTCAAAATTAGACAGGAAATAATTTTAGCCAATATTGCCTAATTTTAATAGCTTCAAATACCCAAATCACACATTTATTTACATTTTGTAAACACACACTAAGAAAAACACTCAGCAGATTTCCTGAAGACAAAGCCAAATCAATATTTTCAGCTTTGTGGATTATGGTTTCTGTTGTACCTGTTTAACTATGACATCGTGTGAAAGTGGCAAAATATAACAAAATAAACAAATGTTAAATATATATATATATTATAAAAAGTTAATGTTGAGCCAGCTAGATAGCTCAACAAGTAAAGGCGCATGCTGCCAGGCCTGAAGACCTGAGTTCAATCTCTGAAACACATATGGTTGAAAAAGACAACTGATTTCACAAGCAAGCACACTGACTACAAAAATGTGCACTCACTGACACACAGGCACACATACAGAGACACACAGAGACTCTCTCTCTCTCTAAATGTAAAACTATTAAAGAATTAAAAAAAGGAGGCCAGTTTTTACCCTGTCCTGGACTGTTATGACTATGGTCTATTTCATTCTCAAATGTCAAACATTTCTTTTGCTTGGCAAAGTCTAGTCAAACAGTTGAAATCATATAATAATATGAATAGAATAAATCTGTATTACCAAGTGATACTCATCCAAATTTGCAAAGAAAAATAAAACAAAATTTCCTAATTTCACTTAAGGTTGAGTTTTCTCAAACAATGGTATTTCCTTTCATATAGAAAAAAAAAGATGCATTAGAAGACACAGGAAAATAAATTATTAAAATGAGAAAGAAACTAAGAAAGGAACATCTTGCAGACCAGAAAAATACATTAAAAGCAGATGAACAGAAGCAGTCTGACTTTTCTACTAAATGTCCTATATTTATTTTTTATTGCTGGATTTATGTCAATGAAAAACATCTCTCCAGACTCAAAGTCAACAAGGAGAGTCAACACAATCATTTCTATGATATTGCTGTACTTCCTTTTGTTCTGCAACCTGAGTTATAGCTCAAACAGAAAATCTCTTTTATTTTCCAAGAGAGACTAGACTAGATGAACCATGACTGTCATAGTCCTGTCCCAAAGCTCTGGCTTGAAATGGAATACCAAGACTATATCCCTGGTGGAGAGTTCCAGGCTTTTAAACTGTTGTCAGAACATCCACTTGGAAGGATTTACTCAGGCGGATTGTTTCCAAAGGACCCAAATTGGGTCCCATTCCCGGGCTAGATAATACTAAATTCACAAGCTAAAACAGGATTACAAAGAGTTACTACAATCAAAGAGGTCCAATATGCTTTTTAAGAATCTGTTTGGGCCTCTGGGACTAAGAAGAAGGCTTCTCTTTTGTGAACTAATAAATACATAGAATCCACAATTTGAGCCTTAGGACAGGGCTAAGAGTTGATGTTAGGTCTTGAGGGAGCGTTATTCCTAATTGTCTGAGTAAGCGCCAGATTGATTTCCAAAGTGGTTGTACCAGTTTACATTCTCACCAGCAATGGAGGAGGGTTCCCCTTTCTCCACAACCTCTCCAGCATGTGTTGTCACTTGAGTTTTTGATCTTGGCCATTCTGATGGGTGTAAGGTGAAATCTCAGGGTCGTTTTGATTTGCATTTCCCCAATGGCTAATGAGGTTGAGCATTTCTTTAAGTGTTTCTCTGCGATTCGATATTCCTCTATCGAGAATTCTTTGTTTAGCTCTGTTCCCCATTTTTTAATTGGATTACTTGGTTTCCTGCTTTTCAGCTTCTTTCGCTCTTTATATATACTGGATATTAGCCCTCTGTCAGATAAAGTGTTGGTGAAGATTCTTTCCCAATCTGTAGGCAGTCGTTTTGTTTTGATGATGGTGTCCTTTGCTTTACAGAATCTTTTCAGTTTCATGAGGTCCCATTTATTGATTGTTGCTCTTAGAGCCTGTGCTGTTGGTGTTCTGTTCAGGAAGTTGTCTCCTGTGCCAATGAGACCCAGCTATACCACTGCTAGGTATATACCCAAAATTTGTTCAAGTACACAACAAGGACATCTGCTCAACCATGTTTGTAGCAGCTTTATTCCTAAGAGCCAGAACCTGGAAACAAACCCAGCTGTCCATCAACAGAGGAATGGATACAGAAATTGTGTTATTTTTACACAATGGAATACTACTCAGCAATCAAAAGGAGGAAATCATCATGAATTTTGTGGGCAAATGGTGGGATCTAGAAAAGATCATTCTGAGTGAAGTATCCCAGAAGGAGAAAGACAAACATGATATATACTCGCTTATATAGACCTACAAGATATGATAAACATAATGAAGTCTATACACCTAAAGAAGATAAACAAGAAAGCAGACACGAGGTAAGATGATCAATCCTCACTTAGAAAGACAAATGAGATGTGCTTTGGACATATGACAGGCGTCTACTGCAGAAGGCATCTGAAAGACCCTACCAAGCAGTGTTTCAAAACAGATACTAAGACTCATAACCAAACTTTCAGCAGAAGGGGAGTTAGTATGACGGGGAAAGGATAGGAGCCCCACAAGGACCAAATATATTGGGGCACAGGGTTTTTTTTTTTTTTTTTTTTTGAAATTGTTGCTCCAACCAAGGACCATGTATAGATATAAATTAGAACCTTTGCTCAGACGAAGTTGTGGTAGCTCAATAACCAATTGGTTTCCCATAGTAAGGGGAACAGGGACTATCTCTGACAGGAACTCAATGGCAGGCTCTTTGACCTCCCCACCCCCCAAGGGAGGAGTAATCCTGCTAGGCCACAGAGGAGGACTTTGCAGACAGCCCTTAAGATACCTGATAAAACAGGGCCAGATGAAAGGGGAGGAGGTCCTCCCCAATCCATGGACTTGGAAAAGGGCAGGGAGAAACTGAGGGAGGGAGGGTGGGATTGGGAGGGAATAAGAGAGCGGATACAGCTGGGATATAGAGTTAATAAAATGTAACTAATAATAATAAACAATAAAA